GAACAACCTGCCTGGTTAATGACAGACCAAACTTACAACCCTTTTTTTTTTTTTTTTTTTTTTTGGTGCAATTTTGTACATCTTCTTTATAGTGCCTCATTGCCTTTTTGGGGGGTATAGTATACGTGGCTTAATACAATATTGTAATTTTTGCTGATTATACTGTACTGCATGTAAGAGTTATGCAAATAAAAGGAAAGTCACCACATTGAATTTTCCTTTGACTATTTCCTTTTCCTGAATATTGTACATACTATATACAATTCCTCTTTCAATGACCTAGTAGCAGGAATGGAACCTACTTGTGAGAAGCGTCTGTATTCTGGTTGTGACATAGTTACACCAGGCCCATCGAATTATAGGAGAGGTGTCTTAGATATCTGAAATTCAGGATTTTTATTTTCCAGGATATTTTAATAAATAGGAAACATAAGTTTTCACGTTGGTCACAATAATCTCAAAACAATGTGAGAACTAGGCTTCAGCTTCCTTCTGCACTAACTGCAAAACTTAAGGAGATGTAGCAGAACTTAAGGAGTGTAGCCAGCCTGTCAAGGTCATCTGTCAGCATCTAACTACCCCTGGGGCCTTCATCCACTTGATCACAGTGCTGCTCACCCCCAGAAACCAGTCCTGCTGAGCTCAGTGGCACAGTGTATTGCCATTTCCAGGCGAGAACCACATGGTTTGAATCATCAGATTTCCTCTGCTCAAGAGCTGCCATAAATCCCCGCCCTGCTGTCTGTTCCCAGGTTTGTAAACCCATTGCTACCTACTGATGTGAGCCTTTTAGTAGGGTTTGGTGAGCGAAACAGGTGTCTGATGAAAGATGTGTAATCTTGAAGATTATCTTCCCCTAAAAGCAGCTGGTGACCTTGACCTCACATAATCCACATGGATAGGAGCTGAGACTGAGTAGTGAGACAAAGTTTACACTTCTGTGTTGAGGATCTTCATGGGGTTTGGCTTCAGGGTGTTGAAGAGGGAGTTGCACAAGGGTGGAGGGCAGCCGCCCTTAGCTTGGGGGACCTATCCACAGGCACACCCTTGCCTGAGCACACTATTCTGCTGGTGGTCTACGCTACACTGCAGTCTCGAATCACCACTCATTTTAAAAGCAAGGAATGTCCCTATGAATAAAGGTTCACCTGGCAGTTTTTATGCCAGGAGTTAAATTAATTTGGGAATTTGTGTCTATAGAAACCAATCTTGAACTTTTCTAGGTAGTTCCTTATCATAATGAATCTGTCTCCATGAACACATCTCTTTACCACATTTTTTCTTCTTGGGAAAGTGTTAACCATTTCAAACGTCGAATATCAAAGCTAGTTACTATGAGAATTGAGGGGCCAGGGATATAGCTCAGTGGCACAAGCGCTTGCCTGGCAAGTGTGAGGTCATGAGTTTGAGCCCTGGTACCAGAGGGGGGGAAAAATGATAAAAGAATCAACACTAACAGAAACAAGGTACACTTGGGTCCCAGGTAGCACAATTCAGAAAGGCTTACTTTTGTAGAGATCATGTTCTGTTCCCTCAACGAAACACCTTGATGAAGCATGTGGCCTACATGTCATTACCCACCTTCCTTCCCCTGGGTAAGTAGGTCCAGTGAGCAGAGGAGGAAGCCCATTTCTGCTCGGCCAGGAGAGCTGCAGTGGGGTTATGGGCCACTCAGTTTTTAATTGGAGGGCCCCTACTCACAAGTTAGCACCGTTTGGCAGCACCTCCAGCTCAGCAGCTGCTAGGATATGTTCTCCATGCATCACTCTTGTTTTCCGACTGACACAGCCAGGTTTTCCAGAGTAACTGAGGTTCTCTGGTTAAAAGTGCCCTGAGTTGAGGAGAGGTGGTAGCGCACTATGGGAATCTATTCACCAGGGGTGTATTGTACTTGTTTCAGATGCTTCAGGATAATACACCGGCTTCCAAGATAAGTGCTTTTTATTTCCCTGCATCTTAGATCAATTATTTGGAAACTTTTTGGTAAGTTAAATTTAAGAGCTGTAACTTAAGCCACCACATCCCTATAATTACTCAATAAGTAAAATGTTCTCATCAAAAGTTATTGTGTTGATGGGCTGAATCATTATTATGTTTTGAAAATCCTAGAAAAAGTAGGAAGAAGCAATGGGTGGCAAGAAGTTTTTTTATTTAAAACCCTATGTTTTTAGGGAGCTGACAGTGTGCACTGTGCCCTGGGGGGCACCTATGTTTTGATGGTTCTGCTGCTGCTGACATTTGGGTGGTATCCCCCAGCCTCACCCCAGCGGCCCACAGAGCCCCTGAGCAGACATGGGCTTCCTTTCTAAACTCTAGAGATGATCAGATAGCAGGTGACTTCCCTAGTAAGGCCTAAGAAATTGATCTGTGGTCCTTTTGGTTGTTCTAGTAGATAACTGTTATACCCAGAACTTCCTTTGGGAGGGGATTCTGTGGACTTCCACATGGCTCTTGGCAGAAGTGTCCTTTGCTCCCTCTGGTTGTAAGTTCCTTTGATGATCTGTGAATCTGAGAAGAGAAACTCATTGCAGGCCAAGCAGGAGGTGGCGTTGTGTGTTCTGCGGTGTTGGCACTTGAACCGTGAAAAGCCGCCTGATGTGTTTTGTTTAGAGGTCAGATTTCCAACTTTCTCCCGGCACCTAGGAAAGCACCTCCTGCCTGTACATGCCAGAAGTTCTCTTTCCCGCCTGGCCTTTGTTTACCCAGGGAGGATGGGTGCTGGGGAAGACGAGTAACTTCAGCGTGCCCGTGCTGGTCAGCGTTTGTCACGCTGGATGTTGTGCTTATGCCAGTCATGGGCTGCAGTTGGGAGTCTAAGGAAATGTCCAGAAGACAGCCACTTACTGTGGCAGGAATGGCCAGTGCTGAAAGATTTGTGCGTAGTGCTGCCCAAGACCTAGGTTACCTGCTAGATTGAGTGGCCTCTCCCATCAAGGTCCAGGCCCTGATGAGACACCTCTGTGCCACCAGATAGAACTGGTACCTGCCTGGTACCAAACACGAACAGCTGGATAAAGCAAGGTGTTCTGGAATTCTGGTGCTGCTTCTCAGTCTTGAGTAGGACCTGTGCGAAGGGTACACAGAACAAAGCCCTTGTGCTTCCAGGGTAAGGTCACCACTCACACTAGGGACAGCACAGACTTAACTTCCCAAGCCTTCATTTGTGCAAAATCTTTCTGCCAGTCTAGGAGAGGGGGAAGTTTCCATCTCCAACTGGGGTTCAGATACCAACCAGTGAAAGCCTGAGGATTTCCATAGCCACTGCAGAGGGCTTTTAACTGTGGAATCTCATGTACAGAAGGGGAGAGTTCCTTCTCCATAGTTCTGTGTTCTGTCCCCCAGGAGCACAGAGCTGCAGCCTTCCGCTGAGCACATTTTTCAGCATGTGCCAAGCGCTTAGGAGGCAGGTGATGGATGTGACAGTTACCCGCATTCTGAGGGGCTGCTTTCGTGCTCTGGCAGCAGAGAGAGGTTTTCCCTCTGACAGGACGAGACAGGGCTGGCTGTGGCACAGCACAGCGCAGCACACGGCCATTGCTGTTAGCATTCCTGACACTGCTGTCGAGAGCTCCAGCCTGCAGCCAGGTGACGCGTCGCCAGTGGTTTGACTGTAAAATATGGTGATACTTGTTTGCATTTAATCAAATACTTTGCAGTTAAATATGAGTTAAAGAGTCAAGTCAAAAGACTTCAGCAAAAGCTAATGTTGAATTTATGCCTATTCTTTGTAATAGCATTCAGACTAAAGCCATTAAGATGTAAAATGCTGTTATTATATCCCTGTAGCATTCAGGTTGGATTTCTTGTGCTATCTTTCTACATTATTTGCAGTGATTTTAAGAGGCAGGAAAATGCATCAGAGGCACTGATTTCTCCTTGTAACACAAAATCTAAAATTGTAAAAATTCTTGAATGCAGCCATTTTGGAAATGTAGATAAAGAAGAAAATGCTGAAGATTTGGGTGGTTCACAGAGCAGCATGATTTTGTAATTGCTGCCACCTACTGTATGTGGTGATGTTTGTTTAACTTTAGGAAGTTCATGAAGGTGAGGCTGTTGAAATAGATAATTAGAGAAGGGAGACATCATTAGCTTACAGCATTTCTTCTCTACTTCGTAAGTGGCTCTTAATTACCGAGACAGCCGCCAGCTTTCATTCATTCCTTCAAGTGGATTTAAAGTTTTCCTCATTTTAAAGTTCTTTTGCCAAGGAACCTTCACAGTGATGCTGCGGCATGTGTTCAGAAGCTTAATGTGCTCGGGCTTTTTAGAGTGTACATGAAATAATTTGATTTAAGGAGCTTTTATGTTGTGTGTATTTTTTAATCTGTATGAGTAGCATTCTGGGGTTGGATTATAAATTAATTTCCATGAAAGAGGTGAAAATAGAGCTAGCGGAGCTGACGTGAACTGCAGCAGTTGACTTGAAAGACATTCTTTTATTAGTCCTAAAACAGGTCTTCAGATCACCCGGCTAGTTAAAACTAACAGGCCGTGCAGACTCTGAGCCCAGCGAGGCCCTTCTCTTTTATTAAGACCCAGCTGTCAAAGGGTCATTAGGTCCTTCCTGTGGAAAACAACTTGCCCATTAATGTTTGGGGTGGTCCCTCAACAGGATTTCTGAGTAAGTGCTTGACATTGAGTTTTTGAAAGACTTTCAAGCTGGTAGGAGACGGATGTTGAGATTTACCAGAAGTAATGTCTTCAGTCTCAGTTTTCAGGCTTTGTTAATTACACCGTCATGTTGTTAAGTACACCACAATGTATGTTTTGAAGCCAGTGCGCTCTGTGTGAACTGACATAATAGTGCCACTGGAAAGGATGCAGAAGCAGAAGCTTCCTGGAGATCCAGTCACTTACCTGGGAAGAGGCTTCATACGTAAAAAGATACGCCTCCTTGATGTGATGTTTCAACCTTGTTGCTAACTGTACTGTTGCAGCTCATGTTCATAGCTCTGGAAACACCTTAGCAAGTGTGGGCTTTTGCTTTTCTACCCTAGGCTATTTGCTTTCTAGAAGAGAAGGCCAAGCAGGGTCTCCTGAAAAGCCACTCTCTGATCTGGGCCGTCTCTCCTACCTGGCCTATTGGAAGAGCGTCATCTTAGAATACCTCTGCCACCACCATGAGAGACACATCAGCATCAAGGCAATTAGCAGAGCTACGGGCATGTGCCCCCATGACATTGCCACCACTCTGCAGCACCTCCACATGATTGACAAGAGAGATGGCAGGTGAGTACCTAGACCCTGGGCAATGCTGCCGCCTCTGAAGCGCCTCCCATCAAATAGGTCCTTTGCTGGTGTTACCAAAACGACTCCTCTGGGCCAGGGATGTAGCTCAGTGGCACAGCACCTGCCTGGCAAGCAGCTCCTGAGTTTGATTCCCAGTACCCAAAAAAAAATTCTACAAAAAAAAACCAGGAAATGATACTCTTTGGCTTATTTTCTTTCACTTTGTTGTACCCTTCTATTCATGTGCCTGCTGATTTTTGTCTGACTTGGGTAATATTAACACTAGCATGTGTCAGTGTGTGAAGGGGAAATGAAATTGCAGCTTTTGATTGCACTTTGTTCTGCCTTATCACGTTACAGATTTGTCATCATTAGAAGGGAAAAGTTGATACTGGACCACATGGAAAAGCTGAAAACCTGTTCCCGGGTCAATGAACTTGATCCAGAATGTCTGAGGTGGACGCCAATTTTAATTTCTAATGTTGCAGTTTCTGAAGAAGAACGAGAAGCTGAAAAAGAGGTAGTGATTGACTTCTTTATCCTAACTTGTGTAACTTCAATCTTATAACTCTCTTCGCTGAGAAAGTCATTACCGTCATTGTCAAAGTCTTGTTTATGTGTAGAGTGCTTGTGAAATGATATGGCACTAATTTATCCTAACTGAGGTTGCATGGTAAGACATGATAATTTTATTGAATTGAGTATGAAAAGTGAAACATTTATCATTGATCACAGAGCGGCATTTTTCACTCCTGACAGCATGTAATCAGATCAGATTTGGTTGCTGAGCTCCTAGGCTGCAGTGTCAATCGATTCTTTGTGTTTATGAACTTGCTTAAAGTGCTCCATGCCAGTGAGCATGTAATGTAGTGATAAAGGACTCAAATCAATTAACTGCATCATTTATAATGCTAAGTATCCCAGGAAACCCAATCCCCTTTGATTTGTTATCCTAACGGATGCAAAGGGTTCCTCTGATGATGCGGCCAGAATTTGCATGGCTGGCTGACTGTCCTGTTCCGACTTAAGAGTCGGTGAAGGGTCACTTAGAGACCCTTTGCTATTGATTCTTAGAGTCTTTGGCTGTGGAGCTGCCCTCTCACTGTTCACCATTTCTCGCCTCCTTAGGCTGAGAGGCTGATGGAACAAGCTAGCTGCTGGGAAAAGGAGGACCAGGAAATCCTGTCATCTAGAGCGAACAGTAGGCAATCACCTGCAAAAGTACAATCGAAAAATAAGTATTTGCATTCTCCGGAGGGCCGCCCAGGGGCCGGGGAACGTGGGCAGCTGATGGAATTGGCTAAAGAGAGCAGTGAAGAGGAAGAAGAAGAGGAGGAGGAGGAAGAGGAAGAAGAAGAGGAAGAAGAGGAGGAGGAAGATGAGGAAGAGGAAGAAAATATTCGAAGCTCTCCTCCACGATTGACTAAACCACAGTCAGTTGCTATAAAGAGAAAGGTATGTGTCTTTAGATTGAAACTCTGCAAGTCTCTTTCAATCAACTCTTATTTGTCATTGCCAGCATTGTTCGTTTCACTTTCTCTATTTCAAGTGTAGTTTATGTGCACACAGCCCCAGTGATGAGATACCATAATTGTTTACCTTACAGTCATGATGGTGTTTACTGATGGCCACAGCAGGAAACCAGAGACCGGCCAGTGTCCTAGTCTAGTAGTCACTGCCACCTGCTGTTCTGCAGGAGTAGAGTAACTGGCAAATAGGAATTGAAAGGGCCCCAGAGAGCACTTAATGACCCGAGGCCTAGGGCCGCCAGAAGACTTAGCCAAGGTCACTGGAAGCTCAGGCTTTCGCTGGTGTTTCTCCTCCTTGTTTTTGACATAGCACTGTTACAAAGTATTTTAGGTATTTTTCTTTTTTCTTTTTTTTTTTTTTTTAATTTTATTTAAGAAGAAAAGAGAAAAAAAAAAGCAGGGAAAGGGTACAAGTTATACAGATTTACAGAAAAAAATGAACAGTAGGAAATTACTAGTTAATGGATTACATATTGTCATCTTAGAAATAATTGTTCAAGTCACAAAATTAAAGCTTGTAAAGTGAACATTCCATCAATGATACTGCAAACAGTTCTGTTCATTGATCCAATAAAACTCTGTGATATCATTTTCTATCTTATACACTTAAATATACATGCAGTTATATAGTTTGGAGCACTTTCTTTTCCTCTCTTTTGTACCATGACTATTACACATTTTGGGTTTCATTGCTCCCACGGTTCTTATTACTTTTTTGGAAGAGAGTAAAACCAAATGTGACATAACAGAACAGAATCGGTCAAGTCAAAAGGGTGGACATAATAGATAATGTAAAACCATAATACAAGGTGATCAACAATGGTTACCATAATGCCTCCCGCTATCTCTAATAGAATTGCCTATATCGTTAGTTATAATACAATTGAACAAAACAGTAAAGAATAAGACCGACAAAACCAAAACACTGGAGACATTGTAGGTCTTCAAAAGTAGATAAAAGTCAACAAGAATGGGCGTCATAATGAATCTCATTATCTTCACAGCTGATGCCTAAACTTTCGAACCTGATACTATCCAGCAAAACAGAATAGGGAACATCAGTTAAAAACCAGATGGTGAGAGTAATACAGGGCTTTAAATCAAGGTAATGAAAAGTCAAAGTGGGTTACTATAATATATCCTGCAATTTTTTTCCTTTAATTAAAAGGATAAAGATAAAAAAGTAAACAATGGAGTGGAAATTGAGATAAAAGAGGGCATAACAACGAAACAGCGCAGATCAAAACATAACCATTTAAGCAGAATAGTGTTTCACCACCAGATAATCCTAACCTAAAAGTAGTTACCATATTGTCTCTTTCTTTGAAATCCTTGAGTACAACTTCGTATACTGTAGCATTAAGTATATCAAAACAATGTAAAACCATTCAAGAGAATGACAGCATTACAGAGTATTAAGAATCGACTAACAGAAAATGAACAATGGTTTCTGTATAATCTCCTTGTCTTTAAAAGGTTTTTGCTTATACTATCGTACATAATAAAATCCAATAAGATACAGCCTATTTAGACCATTGGAGACAGAAGGACAAAAGTTAGATGAGACTTCAAAACAAGATGATACTAAATCAGTATTACCTATTAAGATGTCATTTTCTCCAAAATAGCTGTTCCTATCATCCAATCTTCTCTGCCTCATTTCTGTTGAGCTCTTTTTCTGTCAGTAGCTGTCAGTTTGTCTTCTTCATTTTGTTCTCTGCTCCATTCGTTGTGGCCTCCCCGCCACTATTTCTGGGTTCTTTGTATTTTTCTTTTTTTAGAATATCCTGCAATACTTTCTGTAGAGTTGAATTGGTGGTTGCAAATTCCCCCAGTTCCTCTTTATCCTGGAAGCACCTTGTTTTTCCATCAATTTCCAGGGACAGTTGTGCAGGATATCTCAATCTTGGCTGGAGATTATTATCTTTCAAAGCTTGAATTATTTCCCCCCACGCTCTTCGTGATTTGATAGTTTGTGCAGAGAAATCTGTTGTAATTCTGATGGGTGTTCCCTTGTAAGTGGTCTGTTTCTTGTCTCTTACAGCTTTTAATATTCTGTTCTTGTATTGAATTTCTGGAATTTTTATTATTATATGCCTGGGTGTTGCTCTGTTTGGGTTGTAGGTAGCTGGGGTCCTGTATGCCTCATACATCTGAGTATCTTTACCTTTTGCTAAATTAGGAAAATTCTCCTGGATTATTTCTGTGAGTAGCTTTTGTAGTTCACTTGTTTGTGTCCCTACTTCTTCTTTTATGTTCTTAATCCTTAAGTTATGGATCCTCTTATCATCTTCTTGTCTTTGTATTATTGCTGTTTGTTTCTTTGTTATTTTTAAGAAGTTTTTCATTTCATTCTCCCATATTACAAGTCTGCCCTCCAGTTCAGATAGTCTGTCCTTAGTTTCTTTCAAGCTGTTATGCCAGTCTTCTATAGACTTCTTAGTATCTTGGTAGTCCCTTTGAACCTGCTTCACGTATTCTATGCTTTCTCTGTTTTCTCCATCAAACAATTCTCCCCTTTTTTTCTGTTCTTCCATTCCACCACCTGTTTTTTCTTGGGTGGTACTTAGCATTTCTCTAACTATTCTGCATACTTCTAGCTTCAGGTCATTGATAACTTCATTCCTGAATTGGTCTATGAGGCTCTCTATATGGTGCCTTATGTATATTGGTGCGGTGTCTGCTATTGCCTGTTTCTCAGAATTGGGGGCCGAGGAGCCTTTCTTGTTGCTGCCTCTTCCCATGCTGCCTCTTCTTCTCTGTTCCTTATATATGCAAGCTTATATAAGAGGCCCAGCTTCTCTCCCAGTCAGCCACAGCCTGATCGAATTGCGCCAGTTAGGTGTTCCCGCTCACCGCTGCGCACCAGGGAGTTACAGACCAGGCAGCCTACATGTCTCCCCTCCCGGCCACCATCAGGCTCTGGGATCTGGGTTGGGACAGCCTACCAGGTCCGCCGGCAGCGTCACACAGGCCAGGCACTTTTCACCAATCCCGCCCGAGAGGGGGATGTGTGGCTGGAGTCACCACCGCGCCCTGCTCCCACAGGACTGCCGGGGCCCAGAAAGTCCTCCGCTGGAGTCAAACTGTGGTAGAGTGTCAGTTTCTCTCACTCACCTCACCACAAGTCAGTGCACGTCTCCCTGCCGTTCGCAGATTGCCGTTCTCAGAGCTTCTGCGCGTCTCTCTCCTTGCCGAGCTGCTGTAGAGGCAGCCAGCCACCACGCGGCGGGAAACCCAAATCGCGGCTTACAGTGGCGCGGGGTCCAGCTCCACACCGAGGCTTTTCTGTTCCTGTTTTAGCACCAGGAATGCATTCCAAGTTGGTTTCTCTCAGCCCAGTTTGTTCCTGAGTCAGCAGAGCATATCTCCACCTGCTTATGTCTCCTTAGTCCGCACCATTCCTGGCTTCTGAGCCGAGTCTTTCAGAGAGCCTCCGGTAGTTGCTGTTATCTGTCCGCCATGTTCTCCCGGAAGTCATATTTTAGGTATTTTTCATGCAGATATTTTTCGTTCGTGGCCAAGTACATGTTAATGCAATTCTTCCTACCTTAGTAACTTGATGGTTTTTCTGAAGCATGTCGTCTCTCATCTGAACTGGTAAAGAAGGTGAATGGGTGGTTTATTTCTTTAGGTAATTTCTATCCCAATTCTGATACCTTTGTCCTGTATCTATGTGTGACACGAAGTGAGGCGAGATAGAGAGAATGCAGGGCAGGGACTTTTGTCCCCTGACTCAGGGCTCTTTCTCCAGGCCTGGCGGTCAGAGGGAGAGTAGCTGCGGGAAAATGGGAGAAGAGATCATTCCATGAGTGAACCTCAGCCTTCTGACTAATATTTTAATTTCTTTTGAGAAGAATGACCATATTTTACGTATATAGTGAGATGAGCTTGTCCTAAAGACATCAAAAGCCAGAATCATCCCAAGCATGACATGGACTACAGCTATATGAATGGACCCAACCTAAGAGAAACCTGTTTGTTATGTGGGCTACACTCAGCTTGGGAAAATTCTATCTTAAGGAAGATAGGACTAGGGAAATTAATAAGCACAAATGTCATATTAAGAATATGACTAAACGGCCTACTATCTGTGTTCTTCAAAAACATTCAGAGGATTAAAAAGGTAAAACGCTTCTTTGCATTGTATTGCCAACAATTTTAGCAGCAAATTTACCTGTTAGTCCTTTGTGTGAAATTTTATCATTACTTTTGTATTTGGAAAAAAAATACTTTATTACTACATACTAATTCTTAGATACAATCTACCAGGACATTCGCTCCCCCAACCTCAGCACCCGGGATTGATCCCAGGACCTTCACACTGAGCTACATCCCTTTTCATTTTTTCTTTTCTTTCTTTCTTTTGTTTTTTTTTAATACTGTTTTGCTAAGTTGCTAAATTGTTTTGGCTGGGCTTGAATTTGTAATCCTCCTGACTCGGGCTTCCTGGGTGCCAGGCAGATGCTACCAGGGCTGACTTGTACTGGCTGTCAAACCCAGAGTATTGCCTTGTTAGGCAGGTCCTGTACCACTAAGCCATACCCCTAACCCTTCTTTGCATTGCATTGCCAACAATTTTAGCAGCAAATTTACCTGTTAGTCCTTTGTTGAAATTTTATCATTAAATACTTTTGTATTTGGAAAAAAAAATTTTTTTATCACTACAATTCTAGAGAGTCATTTGTGCTACCCTTTTCATACTAATGAAAAAAGTGTGTCTTACATAAAGATAAACACTTCTGTTTCTTTTTTCCTTTTTTCGGGGTGGAGAGCTACCAGGGATCAAACTCATAACCTTGCGCTTGTCAGGCACGTCCATTTCTTTCCACTTACTTTTTTGTTTTAAATGACACTGGTGGGTTAAGCCAAGGTTTTTCGAGCTCACCTACATCTCCAGCTGTTTTTAAAATTTTTCAGTCTTTTAAGCTGCCTGGGCTATCCTCAGACTTGGCAATCCTTGTACCTCTACCTCCCAGAATGCTGGGGTCACAGGTGTGTGCCACCACACCTGTCTTTTTTAGCCTCCTGCCACACCCCCAATATTGGGGATTGAATCCAGGACCTTCACTAAGCTTCATTCCAGCCTTTATGGTTTTTTTTTTTTTGTTTGTTTGTTTTTTTTGTTATTTTTACATATTTGCAGAACATAATGATTACATTCTTCATAGGATTGGAATTTTTTGTTTTGTTTGAGATGGGTGTCCCATTAAATTTCCCAGGCTAGACTCAAGCTTGTTGATCCTCCTGCGTTGGCCTTCTAAAATGCTGAATTACAGGTGTGCACCATACCTGGCTTCTTTTAACTTTTTTTTTTTTTTTTTGGTAAGCCTTAAAATCCTATTTTATTGTATAAACAATTCATGTATACCTTTTTCTTCTGAGTACATCCTCCCAACCCCTCTGTGGATAAGACAAAGTTCTATTTTACCATAACCCACGTCAATCCCTCCTCTCCTTCCTTGTCATGGAAATCAGCTTCATGTGCATTAGAAGGGTAGCACTTGTTTTATTAATTTCCATGCATCTCTTCTTCTGTTCATTGAAGAAGGCACATACTATCATAAGACAGTAATCTGAGAGGTTTGTTAATGTATCCAAGAGTTACCAAAGATACAGTTCTGCTATCTTTAATTTGTTGTCCACTTGAAATATTTTGAAGAAGTTTTTAACTTTTTAAGATGCCATCCATATTAAATTATTTTTCCAAAATTATTATTTCCTCACATTCCAGTAGCCAACAACCACATAAGTTTGTTGACTTTTTAGGCAATGGAAAAATACATTCTTAAAACTCGTCCCTGTCCCTTCGTAGTTTGAAAGGAGACGAGTAGACTAGTCACCTACGCTGACAAATAGGCTTTGCATGAAGTGTGCTCCCCTCAAACACAGCTATCAAGCATTCAGTGGATGACCTGATGGCTAGCAAATTTACAATCATCAGGGTCTGTGATGACCTTAGCGTGTCTGTTGTGTGTGTGCAGGATATTGAAACCAGCAAGTATACCACTTGGAACATAAATGCTAGGAAAGCAAAGCTTAGCTTTTAAAATCTACTGTCAAGCTGCTAGGCCATTCCCTCTCGAAGCATCTGCTTGAGCAAACAACTGTTGTATTTGGAAAACACTTGCCTGTGTAGTCAGAGCCCGAGAGGGACGTTAAACATCAAATGGAAGGTTAAGTACAAAGGCACCACGGCAGCCTTTACGTGCGAGACGCTCAGCCGTGCTTCAGCACACGGCTGCCGCACATTGACTCACCCGTTTAATTTCGCCTGAGCTCTGATTTGTACTACGTTTGGAATTAATTTCAGAGGCCTTTTGTACTAAAGAAGAAAAGGGGTCGTAAACGCAGGAGAATCAACAGCAGTGTAACAACCGAGACCATTTCGGAGACGACAGAAGTTCTGAACGAGCCCTTTGACCACTCAGATGAGGAGAGGCCGATGCCGCAGCTGGAGCCTACCTGCGAGCTGGAAGTGGAGGAGGAGAGCCAGAAGCCGGTGCTGAGGAAAGCGTTCCAGCACCAGCTTGGGAAGAAGAGGCAGGCAGAGCTGGAGGAAGAAAAAGACAATCATTGCTTTAAGAACAGTGACCCCTGCAGAAGTAAGTAGAACGTTACACAGATCTCACCGCTGACTGTGTGCACAGCTCGTTCCTGGAGTTGTTCCGGTGGCAGCTGGGAGGTCACAGCAGTGCACCTGACATAAGTGCCCTTTGTCCTTTCTTATTCATAACAGTGTCTGTCCTTTCTTTCCGAAGTTCAGGACTTCCCTATAGCTGGGTTCACCTTTGCAGAAATTTGAAGTCTGTCTATAAGAAACACATTTTAGACTGGGCATGGTGGCACATGCCTGTAATCCCAGCACTCAGGAGGCAGAGGCAGGAGGATTACTACAAATTTGTGGCTAGCCTGGGCTTTATAATAAGACCCTGTCTCAGAAAATAAAGTAACAGTTTTTAAAAAAGAAACACATTGCATATCCTTGGTTATAATACATACTTTTCTTTACATGTAGTATTTTGGAATTCAGGGCATACCTATGTTATGATCAGTGTGAACATTGCACGTTATTGTTCTTTTTCCTGGAAAACAAATACCAGGAAATTAGTGGTACATCTTAATAATTAGTAGTAGAGATACCCTGAATAATTATCCTGAATTCACCCATACCCTTAGTCATAGCTCCGGTAACACAGGACAGCATAGAAATCAAGAAAGTAACTTTCCACGTAAGTTGAGGGACGTTTCCTTCCTCATCCTCTACAAAAATACAAACACCAGTGAATTTTCCTTGATGCCCTATTGAGAAGCACCCATCTTGGGCCTCTCTGGGCACTGACTCCTAACAGAATCATGAAGGCTTTTGAGACAGTCTGTATTTCTGCTCCGAAATGACTACTCAGAACCTATTATGGTTTGGGAAATGGACTGTCTCACTTCACTGGGAACCACAGTTCCACTCTAGTATTTGAAAAGCCAGTTTTAGGAACACAGCCAGTGGACCGGGGATTTAGCTCCATAGCATAAGCACCTGCCTGGTAAGCATGAGGTTGTGAGTTTGATCCCCAAAAAAGAAGGGAAACACAACCAGCATCTTTAGTTAACAACTTCTTTAGTTAACAACAACATGTGTTGCTGAGGGCCTAGCATTTTGTCCTGCATACACACAGACCAAGCCTTGATCTGTAGCTTCTTGAAATGAACAAATAAAAATAAACAACAAACTCAGAGATAGGGAAGGTGTTTCCACCTTTTGGCTGTCTTCTCTAGAGCCTGTAGAAGATTTACCATTACTCCTCTCCACTGTGTGCTATTTACCTTTAGAAATTCTTTGTGGCTGTATTATATTCAGTTCCTTTCAGGATTCTCTCCTTAACTCAGAATAATTGTCAGAAAACTCATTTCCTGATTTAAAGAGGTATTTCTAAAAAGGAAAGTTCATAGAACCAGTGGCTTAAGAATATTGAATCCTGGGGGCTGGAGGTTTAGCTCAGTGGCATAAGTGCCTGCGTGGCAAACATGAGGTCGAGAGTTTGATCCCCAGCACCAAAAAAAAAAAAAAAGAAAAAAGAAAAAAAAAATTGAATCCCAAACCACTGGTGGCTCTTTCTTCCTATTGTGAATAGAAAGGAAACATTCCAGGCCTAGGACTTGGTAAGGCTGAAGGATCATTCTCCGTGGCCTGCAATCTATAGTCATTTTGTGTGTAAGCCTGCAGGAAGTGTATGTATGATGCTTTTATTACATAGGAATGTCCAGCTCCTCCTGCGGTGTGCTGATTAGATTAGAAATCACTCCATTCTGCAATAAGGAAATCTTTCTAATTGTTAGACCTTACTCCTATTCTCCAAGACAGGGCGGGGTGTTTATTAATGCTTAGGTTTTTGGTTGTTGCTGTTTTGCTTTTTCAACACTGGCGATTGAACCCCACCCAGGCTTTCCCGCTTGTTAGACAGGAGCTCCACCACTATGTCCTTTTCAGTTTTTTCTATTCTGAGATAGGTTCTCACTAGCTGACTAAGATGGACTCAGGCTTACAGTCCTCCTGCCTCTGTCTCCCACGTAGCTGGGATTATGGTCCTACACACTATGCCCAGCCAAGGTGGGGTTTTTAATAAGATAGTTGTTGTTCTTTAGGAAGATTTTCCTTTAACTGACCAGTGACTCTAGAAGGTTAGTATGGTTCTAACCTTCCACAAATGTTGAGGCATGGATGTTTTGTAGTGTATACTTATTTAGTGTTTGCTTATTTTTGTATAACCCTATGTGTTTATTCACATAGATAAGGGGACAGAGAGAGAGAGAGAGAAATAAGGCTACCTGAACTGAAATGAACTTTACAATTATTGTTTGTTCCTAATTATCTTACTGTAAATACATTTGAGCAGCAAACTCATCCAAAGTACATTATGAGGAAAGGAGTACTAAAAAGATTACCTGTATTTTGAATGTTCAGGAATTTTGTGGGCCTTACATTGTAGGTTATCATGCAAAATTGATGACCCTAAAAATGATGATGTTTGTGTGTCTTAGTTACTCATCTGTTTTAGAGATACACCATTTATTTTTATGCCAGAAAACATAAAAATTCAAACATTCAAATCAAAACACATAATATAATCTGAGCTCATTTAAATCCAGCAAATGTCCATAAACAGTAGCTAACTTCCTTGAGGTTCATACAGGAGTTCGGCTCCAGTCATTTTTCCAGGGCAGTGATTGAGATATGAGACCTTTACTCCCTTTTCAGTGCGTTTCCTATTTTGTAGGTGTTCAAAGTAATTTTTTTAATTGTAAGAAATCCAGGCATCCAGAGAATGTCTTATTTGTTCAGCTCATATATTTTTCCCATGCCAAGGCTCCTTTCTTGGCTTCTGCCACAATATGATCCCAGGTTAGTCCTGATTGTCTTTACCAGCTACTTCTATCAAGCTAAAGTGAGAGCAGTGCTGGCTAGTTGATTTAGAGGAATGATCAGGTTTGTCTGGTTTTGCCTTCTAACTTTGCTTTTTTCCCCCCTCCCCGTCTCTTCACAAAGACAATACAGATGAAGATGCAAATAACTTGAAAGAAGGCAGCAAAGACAATCCTGAAACTCTGAAGTGCAAGCAAACATGGCCAAAAGGAACCAAGCGAGGTCTGTCTAAGTGGAGGCAGAGCAAAGAGCGGAAGACCGGATTTAAACTGAATTTGTACACCCCACCAGAAACGCCCATGGAGCCCGATGAGCAGGTCACAGTGGAGGAGCAGCAGGAGATTTCCGAAGACAAAAGCAGCCCCACTCTTGCCGAGATGGAGCAGGAGGTGAAGGAGACCTCAGAAGCCCCACTGCCTCGGGATGGGAACAGAAGGGAGGAATCCTGTACGCCTGGGAGTCCACATGAATCACCAGGCGAGAAGTCCGATGATCTCATCAAACCCGAAGAGGAGGAGGAAGAAGAAGAGGAGGAAGAAGAAGAAGAAGAAGAGGAAGAAGGAATTGTAGAAAAAGACCCAGATGGTTCTAAAAATCAGGAAAAAGTGGAACCCGAAATTTCCGTGGCAAAAGAAGACCATGTGCATTTGGATGATCACGAAGAGGAAGAGGAAGAGGACGAAGAGCCGGCACACAATGAGGACCACGATGCGGACGATGAAGACGACAGCCACATGGAGTCTGCCGGAGCCGAGAAGGAAGAGCTCCCAAGAGAAGCCTTCAAAGCGGTGCTGGAAAACCAGGAGGCTTTTTTAGACCTTAGTGTTCAGCCCAGTTATTCGAACTCAGAGGTCCTGATGGACTGTGGTGTTGATGTTGCGGCTTCGTGTCACAGTGAGCCGAAGGAGCTTGCTGGCGACACCGAAACTGCACCCGAGTCTGACGGGGAGCCCCCAGAAGAGCAGGCTCAGAAGCAAGACCAGAAGGACGGCGAGGAAGTAGATGCCGAGTTCAAAGAGGCGAACACGGCCACCTTGGAGATTGACTCAGAGACTGTCCAGGCGGTTCAGTCTTTGACCCAGGAGAACAGGGAACAGGACGACACCTTTCAGGACTGTGCGGAGACGCAGGAGGCCTGTAGGAGCCTACAGAACTACACCCACGCAGACCAAAGTCCACAGATCGCCGCAACGCTGGACGATTGCCAGCAGTCAGACCACAGCAGCCCAGTTTCATCTGTCCACTCCCATCCCAGCCAGTCAGTCCGTTCTGTCAACAGCCCAAGCGTCCCTGCCATGGAGAACAGCTATGCCCAAATCAGCCCTGACCAGAGCGCCATCTCAGTGCCCTCCTTACAGAACATGGAAACCAGTCCAATGATGGACGTCCCGTCTGTCTCCGACCACTCCCAGCAAGTCGTGGACAGCGGATTTAGTGACCTGGGCAGCATTGAGAGCACAACGGAGAACTATGAAAACCCAAGCAGCTACGACTCTACAATGGGTGGCAGCATTTGTGGAAACGGCTCTTCCCAGAACAGCTGCTCCTATAGCAACCTCACCTCCAGCAACCTGACCCAGAGCAGCTGCGCCGTCACGCAGCAGATGTCCAACATGAGCGGGAGCTGCAGCATGCTGCAGCAGACCAGCATCAGCTCTCCCCCGACCTGCAGCGTCAAGTCTCCCCAGGGCTGCGTGGGGGAGAGGCCCCCGAGCAGCAGCCAGCAGCTGGCGCAGTGCAGCATGGCAGCCAACTTCTCCCCGCCCATGCAGCTGGCCGACATCCCTGAGGCGGGCAATGCCAACATTGGCTTATATGAGCGAATGGGGCAGAGTGATTTTGGGGCTGGGCACTACCCACAGCCATCCGCCACCTTCAGCCTTGCCAAACTGCAGCAGTTAACTAATACACTTATTGATCATTCATTGCCTTACAGCCATTCCGCTGCTGTGACTTCCTATGCAAACAGTGCCTCTTTGTCTACACCATTAAGCAACACAGGGCTCGTCCAGCTTTCTCAGTCTCCACACTCTGTCCCGGGGGGACCCCAAGCACAAGCTACTATGACCCCACCCCCGAACCTAACTCCTCCTCCAATGAATCTGCCACCGCCACTTTTGCAGCGGAACATGGCTGCATCCAACATCGGCATCTCCCACAGCCAAAGACTGCAAACCCAGATCGCCAGCAAGGGCCACATCTCCATGAGAACCAAGTCGGCGTCTCTGTCACCAGCCGCTGCCACCCATCAGTCACAAATCTATGGGCGCTCCCAGACCGTAGCCATGCAGGGCCCTGCGCGGACTTTAACGATGCAGCGAGGCATGAATATGAGTGTGAACCTGATGCCAGCCCCAGCCTACAACGTCAACTCCGTGAACATGAACACTCTGAACGCCATGAATGGGTACAGCATGTCCCAACCCATGATGAACAGTGGCTACCATAGCAATCATGGCTACATGAACCAGACGCCCCAGTACCCTATGCAGATGCAGATGGGCATGATGGGCACCCAGCCATATGCCCAGCAGCCAATGCAGACCCCGCCCCACAGTAACATGATGTACACAGCGCCGGGACATCATGGCTACATGAACACGGGCATGTCCAAGCAGTCTCTCAATGGGTCCTACATGAGGAGGTAGGCAGCCGGGGCGGCCCCAGCACCCTCTGGGCATCACTGTCAGATGGATTGATCTGCACAAATACCTATGAAGAGTACGATTTCAAAACCAGCAATTGGTGTGAATGCAAAAACATTTGTTGGCACCATTTATTTAAAAAAAAAAAAAGCTGTATGCAGCAGAAAGCCTTATACAAGTTATTTTTCTTTCTTTTCTTTTTCTTTTTTGGTACCTTGGTTTCTGTTACTTTTATATGAAATCCTTGGCAAAGGAAGGCCTCTCTCTGGACTACAGTTTGGAGGCAGACACTGATTGTGCCTGCTTCCCTTAAAACAATGTGGATATCAAATCCCCCAAATTATCTGTTTTAATACTGAACCTAGAGCTTTTTTTTCCTCCCCATCACTCCATGTAAATGCCTTTAGCATTTCAGTTATTGTATATTTTGTTTAAGGTGACACTTCAGCATGCCGCTAATGTCTTTGTTAGTGACAGTGCATTTTGTAGTACTGTACAAGTGTTGTGCTAACAGTAAGCCATTTCTTAAGTTTTTTGCCTTGATTAGGGTACCCTAATTTGAGGGTTTAAAAAAAAACTATATTTTTGTTAATTATAAAACTGTAAAGAGCTATAAAAGCTATTCCCATTTGGTTAGTCAAAAGGGTTTTATTGCTAACTGTTTGGTGTAAAGTTGAGACCCTTTTCCATTTTGGTGACAGATTTCTTTGGGGAAAAAGGCAGCTTTCTGTTTTATAAATGCAGACTTCTGTTTATTGAATGAAGCATATCTCAGTGTTTATCTGTCAGGTTTTGAAACATTTCATATATGTCCAAATACTTGGCAGGATTTAAAAAAATAGTGAATTTGGTGTAAAGTTGCTATTTTATGGAAATGCCTCTAACTTTACATTTTCATTCCATCTGTAGATTTTTCTATCTTTATAAAATATTGGAGTTATTTTTTAAGGAAAAATAGAGAAGTAGCTTGTGAATAGCTCAAACTAAGCTTACAAATCGCATGTAAAAAAGCAAAAAAGTTATTTGTGTCTGTTTATATTGCTCCCTTTTTTGTAGCCTTTGTACCTGTACAGGGTGACAGTAAGGGCCAAGCAGGAGAGGCGTAACCCTTGTATAAAATAGGAGCCAGCAACACTCTTGTATTTATCTGTTCTCTTTTTAGTCAGTTACTTCAGAAAAACAAAAACAAAAAAACAAAAACAAAAAAAGCTGTACATTTTAACATAAAATAAATTATGATGAGCCATTTTTAGCCTCTTGTGTCCTGTCATATTATGATTGATAGAGAATGACCAATGGAACTGTATCAAGTGTCACATCTCAGAACACATACACATTTTGGGAAAATAAATTATTTAGTGTAAATTGGAGTTATGAGATTTTCTGATTTGTTTTTGACTTTTGGGGAGGGTTGGCAATAAATAAGAGTAATATCTAATAAAACCATCACATATACCAAATACCTATTTAATAAATTAATTTATAATGGATTTTAATGCTTTTCATGAAAGTTTATTTTATGCTAGTGCATACCTTCTGTATGCCGATCATTGTCTTTAAAATAAAGTGAATTTGTTTTTTTCTTTTTGACTTTGATCTTCATTTGCAAAGAGATCCTGCACAGATTACCAGTTGCCTTGTTTGCACAGTCTGTATAAACTCCCCTGAGTTTAGGGCCACCGTAGCAAAAGCACCCAGTTTGGGACTGTACGTTTGAAATTTTATGTCCTTTAAAAGCGTGTGAAAGTTTTGCTCTGTTGTGAATGATTGTATGTTTTCTTTAGAAGCTGAAATTCAGACCAAAAAAAAGCTCACCAACATTGCACAGGATTCCGAGGAGTCTTGCCTAAGAATTGAAACATTGATTATTCAAATAACAAACCTAGAAATGGCTGTCGGGCTCAGCACCCATGTGAAGATAGCTCACTGTGTTGCAGCAGCACGTGCTCACAGCTCTGCTAAGCAAGTCACAACCATCAGCATAACACACAACAATTAGGGCTATGCTCATCGGGGTGGGAGCTCTGCAGAGTCAGGACAGCCACGCACCCCAGGGCTGCAGAGCTGTGGGATGCCGGGCTCCTCCTCAGCAGCATGGCTTCCCCAGTGCCAGGCAAGGTGCATTCAGGATCCCAGTTTCCCTTTTGGTGTGTTCTCTCCACCCCTGCAAAGTCAGTGGATATAAACACTTGAAGTGGATGAGGAGGATTTCCGCTGAGCCTCCTCTCGGGCTATTGCAGCGAAAGGGGAGGCAGGCTAGGACCCACCTTGGAACTGTCCCTGTCCTGTTGCGCTGCTTCCCTGGGGGCTAAGATTCCCCCCTGTTCCTTTCTGCTGTGGCTGTGAATGGCACCCTGGCATCTGGAGGTTGCCTGGGCTTCAGCGTGCCCACCTCACTTGGGGACACATCTCAGTGGCTTTCTCAGACAACATCAGGACAGTGCTGAGGTGCCTCAGGTCTTACTACAGGCCCAACACCAGAAAGGCTTCATATAGGGCAGAAATTGCCCGTTCAGATGCCCTCCAAACCCCTCCACTCTCATTGGTTACTTCCCTTCAGGCCTATAGCTGACACCAGACATCCTGGAAGAGAGGAGTTTGGCTTCACAGAACTGAATCACAGTGAGTTGGGATTCATTCACAGGCCGCATCAAGAAACCCAGTAATAATGTGTCCTTCACTCACTTTGTAAGAGTTATAACGAGTTTGCTTGTCAAGTTGCCAACCTCACTTGAACAGCTTGAGCACACCTGGCCAGATGTGCAGGCATCATCCCTCCAGCAGTGTGCAGTTTTAGAACATGCTAGACAGCTATTACAAAGAATCCTTTCTCAGGAAGGCTCCCAGTCTGCAGGTTGGAAGATGCGGGCTCTAGGACTCTATATAAACACCCGAATGTGCTCGGCTGGATTCATAAACTGAAGCCAATCCAGGCCTCCAAATCCCAGCTTCTCCCTAAAACATTTACTGTGGAAAAGCCGTGATTTGTCACTTCAGCGACTTAAAAGACTGAGCTGATAAATACGTGACACTAAAATTTCAGCACCATATAAACAGGCGTGCCTTTGCTTTGGGGAGTGAGTCTGTGGTCTACAGGCAGTGCAGCCCGTGTGAGCATGGTTGCCACAGTGCCTTCTAGTCTGTTCCCAGGCTTCAGTAATGCCGGCTGCCCTCTGTCCCCTCCCTGGGTTGTCCTCCACAGCCTTGCCTGGCTGTAAGTGTTCGTATTCTGCAATAGTCAGGCCTGGCCACATCCTCTCTCTTAGCTAGTTCCACCTCTTAATAAAACAGCCAGAAACAGCTCCAGTTGGAGTCATTTCTGTGAGTGTTAGAGCCCAGGGATGACCTGGGATACCTGGGTTTGGTGGCAGTGACTTACCGAGCTGGTGATTTTCAGCCCCAAGCTCAGAACTAAGCACCACCTAGAACCAAGTCTTCTGCCTTCTTCGTAGGTCCTCTCCATCTTCCTGCCTGATTCCAAAACAACCCCTGACAGCAGTCTCCTGTCTTCCGGTCCGGGCCCTCTGCCCTTTTCCTGTCCTCAGCCTAGCTGGGTTCTTGTCTTGTTCCCCATCCTGCAGCCAAAGTGATTTTTTTCTTTCAGAGTGATTGCATTCGTTTATTGGGGGGGGGGGTATTTTTGTTTGAGACAAAGTCTTGCCGTATAGTTCAGGGTGTCCTTGAACTCACTATGTAGCTCAGGCAAACTCTTGGTGCGTCTCCTGCCTCAGCCTCCTGAGTGCTGGGACTACAGGTGTGGGCCACCACAGCTTACACCATGACTGCTTAAACCCCACTGTGATTTTTCTTTCTCTAGCGCCCTTTCCACCCCTCCCTCACCTGGCCGGCCTTGCCTCAGCTGAGCACATGTCCTGCCCACTCCGATGTCCTCAGCTGCCCTGCCTGTGGTGGCCTTGTCCACCGCGCTGCCCGTGTTCCTCCATCCCAGCACCTGTTTCCTGATTGCGCTGTATTCCAACCTATGCTTCTGTTTTCACATCTGCCCTCCATGCCCTGGCTTTTTTCTGCAGATGGTAAGTTCTTGATACGTATTTAGCCAAATAAACATTTCATTTGTGAAGACGTGAAATAATGCTAGAAAAACGTCCAGTACCTGGGAGTCACTGGGAGGAGACCAGACAGCACCACTGAGTTCTCTGCGGCTGCTACTGCTGCCCAGCAGCACTGGGAGGCGCGGAGGGAGGTGGCGGCACGAAAATCCGCTTCACTGCAGGTGCTATAGAAGCACCTGCTGGCTGGCTCTACGGCCCTGAGCTGACCCAAAGATCCTGACTCAGGAGCCCACCAGATGCCTTTCGGGGAGCCCAGCTGGGGTCCTCTAGGGCTGTGTCTCTCCCACCCCGCCCCAGGGTGTGGGGCAGTCCGTCCTCAGCCTGGGCTGTCACACCGTGCCGTGTGCTACTGTCCAGTGCAGTCCTGTCACTGGTTCACCCAGAACTTTTCAGTTTTTGCACCCGGACCAGCCAATCGCTCTACATTTCCATTTCCATCAGCTTTGCCTTTTGCTGTGTGACTCCCCGGTGGTGTCCCTGGTTTTAATTTAGTGGAAAGCTGACATTCTTTCTTTCTTTCTTTCTTTTTTCTTTTCTTTTTTTTTTTTTTTTTTTGTCTTTTTCCTTTTTATCGGCACCAGGGATCGAACTCACGACTGCCTGCTTGCAAGGCAGGCGCTTATGCCGCTGAGCTAAATCCCCAGCCCCAAGCTGACATTCTTAACATAGGCGTCTCAATGAAAGTCGTCTCTCTGTGAGTCTGTGCGAGACCTTGGGCCAGGGTGACCATCCCAGAGGCCTCCCTGGCAGTCCCAGGACACTGGTCCAGCCACAAGGTCTCGGCCACAGGTCCTCTCTGCAGGGCCAGGTGGCTTTGCCTCACTGCCAAATCCCTGGACTCTGCCCCAATTCCAGCAAGAACTTCCTCTCCTGCAAAAAGCCACAGCCCAGCTGTAGCACTGCACCCCTCGCCCTGGTTTGTGAGGAGGCTTCCCCATGCACTCCGCTCTCCCCAAGTGCTGTCTCTTTCTGGCTCATAGTCTTCGCCAGCAGCATCTCTCCCTGGGATCTCACTGGGTCAGAGTTCCTGGTTCTACTAGCTGACCACTTCACACCACCGTTTTCTCCAGAGTGAAAATTCGAACAGCCTCGTGGTTGGCTTCGATCTCAGGCCAGCAAACCCACGCCAGAGCTCACCTGGCTGCCTGGCTGCCCGGTCCACAGGAATCACATCTGTGAATCCTGAAGTCAAGCCAATCTGATCTGCTCTGACTGGGATCAGAATGAAAGGGGCTTCTCTGAATCCTAGGACCCTAAGAGTGCCTCATTTCTCCACCTCCAGTTTTAAAGCCAAGCTCTTGCCGGCCCAAATTTACCACAGTGCATCGAGTTTGTCGGGGTGCTGGCAGCTCCATGAGGAAGGATCCCACATCCCACTGCCACCAGGTGAGCAGCACTGCCAGAGGGTGATCACGGCCTACCTGGGGTTCTGTGGGTGAAGAATCACAGGGTGCCTGGGGGCCCCTAATAACCTGGATGTACTCTCCCATAATCATGCTTGGTTAGAAAATCAAGTTGTACTTTTAAATTCTTTTCTGTAAGAATATGACTTTCCTTGTGACAAAAGCAAACATTTAATCATAACACAATGCCCACGCATTTTCAAATCCTCCTCTGCCTCCGTCTTAAAACTCAGGCGATTTTCTGCAGAGAGGAGCCATCTGCAACCTGTTCTGCCAGGGTTGTCGTGCTCAAGGTGCTGTGACAGAGTCCTGGGCTCAGCCAGGAGGTGGCCCTGAGTCCTCCCTGTCCCTGGCACACACTGGGAAGTTTAGTAAGCTTGGGAGAAATCGACCTTTGGTTTCACTGTTCCTTCTCTGTGACCCACAAAGTCACAGGCCAGAACGCTTTTCAGCTGTCCCTCTCAGTCTTGAGTCTGGGCTGGGGCCTGGAGGGGTGCCCTACAGCTCCTCCTCGCCATCCCCACCCCGGGCCTGTCGCCTCTGCTGCACCAGCTGCTTGTCCAGTTCTCGGAGCTGCTTCAGGAAGCCTCGGTTGGGCAGGACACAGCGGTTCCGGGCCACTTGCTGGATGGCGTCCACGAGGGTCATGTTCCTGTGGATCATCAAGTAGGCCAGGACCAGGGTCGCCGAGCGGCTGCGGCCCATGGCGCAGTGGACCAGGATCTTATCTGCAGGAGGATGGGGAGAAGAAATGCTGGCTGAAGTGCGCAGTGGCCCAGGGAGGCCACTCTGTCCCGATGCGCACTCTCCCCCTCCTGCCCATAGCCTGGCTGCCTACAACCGACCCCCAGCTACAAAACCGGCAGTGCCCCTACCTCCTACAAGGGCACTTGCTGAGAAGGTGATTTGTGCAGAGCACACTTGGGGCATATTCGGCACATACTAAAGGCTCATAAATGACAGGGGTTCCTGTTGCCGCCTCAGTAAGGAAGAAGAGGAAAACAGAGTTCATGTTCTCTCCTGCCCAAGTACCTCTACGTGAGAACTCCTGAGTCAGCTGGAGAATGTGAGTTTGGGAAATACACAGGATGATCAAAAACAGTGGTCAATTTCATTTTTAAAAAACATTACAGTAAAAGGCACATTGCTGTGACCCTCCCACCAAATGCACTTGTTCTGTGGCTCTCACTGCTTTGTGGAGCAGCTCTAGAGGTCCACTTTCGTGACTGTCTCTACATGATCAGAAACACAGTGAATGCTGCTGCTGAGTTTTATCCAGCGGAAAGGCAGGCTCATAAAAACATTCCTCTGTGGCACCATGCAACATCTGGCTCCTCCCCAAGGTCAAGATGACCATGAAAGGGAAATGTTTGGGAAGGATTCTGCACACTGATCGGCCACAGCAGCATGACCTTGGGGAAGGAGACATCCAGAACTGCTTTAGAAAGTGGGATACAGCTCAGTGTTCAAGCACCTGTCTGGCAAGCACAAGATCCTGAGTTTGATTCCCGGTACCCCCAACCCCAAAACAAGACAGTGGTGAGAAAGGGCATGAGGGTGAGGAAGATTCGTGACCATGTCTTTCACTGTAATAAATCCGTCTATTTAAACTCTAATTTTCAATCACATCTTGCATATTTATATGCAATATAAATAAACACTGAAGTATATAAAATAGGACATCAGAGGATGCTCATTGAAAAGCCTTCTACGCAATCCCCGGGCTCCCAGGAGCAATGAGTCCTGCTGGTTTCTTCTTCCAGGGAAGGTTCTGTACCTCAGTGCTGTGAGACACAGTTCTCTGTTTGGCCCAGCGGTGGCAGGGCTTCCACTTTTCCTAGGCCTCGCTCCTTCCATGCAACTATTCCCAGGAGTCTCTAGATCAGCGAATGCACAATTCCCTCTCTTGCTTTTCTCCCTCGGCAGGGAGAGCCTGGAGAGCCCAGACTTGCGCAGGCTGCAGTGCAGGGCAGAGGGGCACACGCACTGTGCACGATGGCTGTGCTGCTGGATTTCACCCTGGAGGAGAGAGCGCTCCCCGAAGTCCTTGAGTGCAGCCTGCAGACTGGCATGGTTGGCAGTGGCGTCCATGAGCATCCCTATAGCCTGGGGGCCTGCAGAACCCTGACCCCATCTTGCAGCCTGCGGTTCAAACTTGGTTCTGCTACCAACTACCTGCTGGGTGAATAACATTCAGCCTATGGAGCCTCAGGTTCCTCAAGCAGGGGTGCGAAATCAGATCAGCATTAAACAAAACAATTCAGTAAAAATCACATGGTCAGGTTTTTAAAAAATGAAAGTAGGCATCATGACACACTCCTATACTCCTAGCATTCTGGGAGGCTGAGGCAGGAGGATCTCAAGTTTGAACCCACCCCGGGCAATTTATTGACTTAGAGAGTCTTTGTCTTTATATAAATAAATAGAATGAAATAAAAAGAAGCCAAGCATGGTGGCACATGCTTGTAATCCCAGCACTCAGGAGGCTGAGGCAGGAAGATCACTGCACACCTGAGGCCAGCCTGGGCTATACAGTGAGTTCAAGGCCAGCCTGCACTACAAAGTGAGATCCTGTCTCAAAGAACAAACAAACACACGAAAAGGACTGCGAAATGGGCTCAATGTGAAGGCCCTGTACAAAGAAAGAAGAAAGGTGGAAGGAAGGAACGAAGGAAGGAAGGAAGGAAGGAAGGAAGGAAGGAAGGAAGGAGAGAGGCTTTACTTTGCTGTAGGCCAAAGGCAAAGGATAAATATTCTCATGAGCTAAATGAGCTCAAGTGGGAGGCGCCCCCTCACTCTCAGGAGAGCCTGGGGTCAGCGCTATTTCCATAACAGTGCTGTGGTGACAGCCCCTCTTTGACAGTGCTGACGCACATGTGACATTGCCTTGGCGATGGTCACAAAGGCAACAATGGGCAGAACGTCTGGGACCTTCACGTGGCTCATGGCCCCGGCCCCAGCTCTCTCCTCGAAGTCGTGGGACAGAGGCGAGGAGATCCTCCGTTAAACAGTGGGGATGTGTTTCCTCCAGTGCCAGCCCGGCTCTGCTTCTCAGCGTTCCGCGTGGCGGGCTGGGACACACGCACCAGCTCTTTGGCTGCATCCCAAGTACGGCGCCCGTCTCCAGGGAAAGCTCGCGGGGGACGACGGAGCTGGGGGGCTGAATCGCCCCCTCTTTTCCTCAAACTTATTTTTCCATCAATGGACAAATGATAGAAAAACCGTGGGCATTCAAACTTGGGCATCTGGCTGAAGTCTTCTCAAAAGGAAACAAAGTGACAAAGAAAACAACAGACCTACTTGTTACCAGGGGGAAAATGCAAGCTTTTCAAGCAAAAATTAGAACTATGGAAAACTCGTGCTTATGACTGGAGAATGACGGTTTCCCAGCACGGGTAAGATATGTCCATACCGATGGGGGAGATAATAACAAACATGGCTTGCCTGGTAAATTACAATGAAAAGTGTCAACATTTGGAAGAACCAAATAACTTAGTGAACCGCTTTTGCAAATAACCAGTGCAGGCCACTGTGAAATCATGCTAAAAGATGCCCTCAACGTGCAAGATTGAACAGTGGATTGTTTTGATTCTTGTTTTTTTTTTAGACAGGGTCTCACTGCAGTCCAAGCAGACTTGAACACACTATGTAGCCCAGGCTGATGTCAAACTCAGAAATCCTCCTGCCTCGGCCTCCCAAGTGCTGGGATTACAGGTGTGCATCAAAGAGTTCTGAAACCAGAAAACCAGAGAGATCTAGGAGACAGGAGCTGTCTGGTCACTGCCGTGTTCACAGCTGGGCCAGGCTGGAAACTGGGCACAGAAGGAGCCGCCGTATTCACCCACTTCGGTGTGGTGGCGGCCCTAGAGCTCACCTACTGCATTTACCAGCCAGGATTTCATTCCCGTTGCCTTTCCTCTTCCGGGGGAGGAGGGGAAGGACGATTCTTCAGGTCATCACACCGCCCGTAGCACTGTGACACAGAGCCTGTGTTCTGCTACACAGCATTGTCAGTGAGTGCATGTCAGAGAGGTTCCCCAAAATTCCTGGGTGTGGTGATTCACACCTATAATGCCAGGACTCAGGAGGCTGAGGCAGGAGGATTGCCATAAATTGGAGGCCACGATGGTCTACATAGTGAGTTCAAAGCCAGATCCTACCTCAAAACAAAACAAAACAAACAAGAAAGTGTCACAAAATAATGTCTTTGCTGCATGCTGATATTTTCTAATTTACTGCATTTCTTTTAAAAGAAAGGCTAGTCTTACACACCAAGACGTTTTATGACATGCTAAGTCAATTAGATATTTATCTTCACCTAAAGGTGAATTCTCATATTCTTTTTTTTCCTAAGAGGAATGGTTTGTTTTCACTCACAGAATTCACAGACTCTCATGCAGAAAACCCCAGGCCAGAATTTCCACAGCTCCTCCATTGCACGTGGTCAGCGGTGATCGGAAAGTTAGCCCGTCGCTCTCAGGAACACACCTGCCAGGTGGTTCCTCCATCCCTTTCCCCTCAGCACCTACTTCCCTGACTTTAGGCCCTTGCTGGCCTCCTTTCCTGCCTTGGAGCCAATGCTTGGGCTCACAGATGGCAGTGCTCCTTGAGTAGCTTTGGGACATGGCAGTCCTCAGAGACCAGGCTCAGGGTGCAGGGAGGGCAATGTGAGAGGGCAAGTGACACCTAAAGCACTCAGTTTTAAACACCCCAGAGAGGCACCTCCTGCTGGAAAGCAGGCTTCTTTTATGGTACATTTTAAAATTTTCTTTCTTTCTTTTTGGGGGAGGTAGCATGGGGACTCGAACTCATGACCTTGCACTTGCCAGGCAGGTGCTTATGCTGCGGAGCTAAATCCCTGGCCCCTTCTTTCTTTCTTTCTTTCTTTCTTTTTGGTACCAGGGATCAACTCATGACCTTGCACATGCCATGCTGGTACTTGGGCCACTGAGCTAAATCCTTGGCCCTGCAGGCTGGTTTTGAATTCACTGTGTAGCCCAGGCTGGCCTCGCATTCAAGGCAATCCTCCTGACTCAGTCTCCTGAGTGCTGAACTTACAGGTGTTGACCCCCGGGTAGGGATGCTTTTTGAAAAGAGTGAACAAATAGCATGTGTGAGTCCCTGGGTTCAGTGCCCAGCACTGCAAGAAAGTAAAACTAATAGGAGTAAACACAATGGGCAGGGCGTGCTGGGGCGGGGGACACGGTAGCCAAGGCTGAAAGGAGCCCACGGAGGACAGGAAAGACAGAACGGTGCGGGGAGCACGCCTCCCTTTGGTCCAGACTGTGCGTGACACCTCTTAGCTCAGGCTTGTAAGAAGCGTGTGCCTAGAGCCAGCTCTGTGATGCCACCGCAGTGTCCCTGGTTGCCGGGACGTGACTGACACCAGCAGGCCACCCGCTGCACGTGGTGGGCAGGCCGAGCACCTGTCACTCACTTCGACCTGAGCCAGCAGCACTCTGTCTCCGAGCGAGTGAATAAGCCTTTTGTTTTGTGGCTTTGGCCACGGCACAGATGTCAGTGGACAGCCATCGACTTGCAATCCTTCAAGAAATTTCAGTTTGTTGCCCACACCTTAGCCGTGGTTGATTTTAAAGTAAAATTCAGATCAGAGATTTCTGCCACATTTGCACCAATTCTTACAAGAAAATACTCGCAGCTGCTCCCTCAAGGGGATGTGGGGTTCCCTGCTGAGCCACAAGCACCCCCCTACCCACACCCCACAGCTCACATTTGTTTACGTGCTGTCTGGTTCTGAAAGGCTGGGGTTTTAGGCCCTGGCTTTTTTGTTTTTTTGTTCTTTGAGACAGGCTCTCGCTCTACAGTTCATTTGTAGCCAAGCCTGGCTGTGAATTCACAGTGATCCTCCTGCTTCGGCCTCCCAAGTACTGGGACTACAGGCATGTGCCGCCATGCCCAGTTGCACTGTTCTTTCTTAATCCTGCCTTTGCTGGGTGCTTTTGCCCACCTGGTGCAGCGGTCACGATCCCCACACCAGCCTGGCGCCTCCTCTGTGATCCGCCCAGGCTTAACCATCCGGCTCCCGAGCCTGAGTCTTTCCGGATCTGGCAGTGGGGGTTGCCTCAAAATGATGTGCCAGGAACCTAAAACAGGCGTTCAGGGAGTGTCACACAAGTTCAAAGTTGGAATGTCTTTTTTCTCTTTTGCTTTTAGGACCGGAAGCCTTATGGTGATGGTGTGCACATGCTGGCAGGGTCACGTGCTCCACAGCCCATGACTCCCTTATCAAACGCATCCCCAGCCTGCTGCGTGCCGGTCCCGTGCTTTGTGCATTGCTGTTGCTCATTAGAATCGTCGGATCAATATTCCCATCACTGCACGGAGACGTCACGGCTTCCCCCTGAGTTTCACGGCCTTCGTGACTCTGTGACTGGAATGTGATCCCAGCCCTGCCTTCTCCAAAGCTTGCCAGGCCCCTTCCCTTAAGGGCCAGGGCCAAGACACAGCAGCGGTGAGCGAGGGCAGGAAGGGAGGTTGCTGTGGAATTTTCCTGCTCTGCGTGTCCAACGTGTTCTCCATGAACTCCAAGTGCTGGGAGGTGAATTTTACCTCCTGCTGATGAGTCAGTCCAGTTGCTCTTTGGCTCCCACTTGGGAACCCAGAATATATAGAACGCCAAAGATCGTCCGTAAATAGATTCATGAAGAGATGGCTTAGAAGGGAGGCGTCCTCCAACACCAACTCAGCAGCTCCGTGTGGTTTTCTCTGTGCCCTTGCTTTTGAACCTTAATAATAACAAACTGATGGTGGCTATGGCCACTCTGGGATGACTGTCGAGGTCTAGGACTATCTGGCAGAACTGGTTGAGGCCCAGCCCCAGGCTGCAAGTTCCTAAAGCACGTCAGTTGGTCAATCACCAAACCTTGTAATCCCAATCTCTGGAGGCAAGAGAGACTCCCAGTAACTGGATGCCCTGAGTGATGTGATCTTCCCAGGCAGGGCTGAAGTCAAAGCACAGATTAAGGAGCGGTGGTCCCTGTGGCCTCGGAGGAATGCTCTGAACTCTGCCCCTGCAGCAACACCTGTATTGTCTGAGCCCCACACACAGCTCAGTTGTATGCTTCTCTCCAGAACATTCTTGCAGCCCCTCCTGAATTAGGACAGCTAGAACTACATTGCGAACGTGAAGACTATCACTGAGATTTAAAAGACTGTTTATTAATGCTGGCAAACTGGAGTAGCGTGGATGCAAACTCCAGGTTCTTGAATACAGTTTAGCTAAGATTGTCAGCTTTCCACCGGAGGCCTTGCCGCACCAAGAGGTTCTGGGAAAGGCTGGGGCTAGGCGTGAGCCTGGCTAGTTTCTAGACAATTTTAAAATCGCCCGTGGATTCCTCTGCGAGTCAGCTCCCGGAAGGTTTTCTGGCATCAAAGCCCTGGGCTAAGTCGGGTTTGGGGCGAGGTACAGTTCACATCCAGTTAGTCCCAGCCTGGAAGCACCCGGGCCGCCCTTGCCTTTTTTAAGGATGGTTAAAGTTTCTCAGGAATTCAGACCAAGGCCTTTCTTCTAACCCTCCGATTCCATTTTTCCGGAATGGCCGTCAAGGCCAGAGCCCCCTGCTGCAGCATGACCTCAAACCCCGAATCTCCACAGGCTCAGTTGTCTTTCCCTCTCCCATGCGTAACCCCAGTGTACCAGGTATGAGAACCACTCAGACCCCGCTACTGGCCTGTGCCTTAGGGGCGTGGTCTACGATAGAGGCCTGGTCTGTGGTTGGCCGGGGCGGGGGCGTGGTCTCGGTATGGGGCGTGGTCTCGGGTTGGGGGCGTGGTCTAGGGCTGGGGGCTGGCTCTTACTGTGGTCCTCGCGGAGCGCCGCGTCTATGAAGGCTGCCGCGGAATAGAAGAAGACGCTGAGATCGAAGGTGGGGACATCGTCGGCCTCGACGCCGTGGTACTCGATGTCCATGTCACGGTAGTAGTCGGGCCCGGTGTCCACGTTCCAGCGTCCGTGGGCGGCGTTGAGCACGTGTGTGAAGCCCGCCTTCTGCAGCCCATATCGGTCCAGCGCTGTCGCCCTGGACGCAAAGGGACAGAGGTGGGTCGCGAGAGGGCGGCGCCGCGGGGCTTCAGGTTCCCGAAGGAAAGGAACCGCGTGGAAGCCCCAAAACCTAGTCCCAGAGCTCTTGCTCTGATGACCCCAGGCCGCCCGCTGTTCAGTATTTTGAGAAGAGAAGGAGGTACGAGTGAGTGGGCTGTGCACTGGGCCAGGCCTGGGGTCATCATTCACCCCGGATCCAGAGGACCTTCCGCGTCCGCCCAACGCTGCCCAATGAATAACCTGTTTATCCGCACTGCCTGCACGGAGGCTTGGGATACCCTTGACAGTTGGCCTCTCCTCTGACCTTTTAGAGTATTATATTAACAGGGTGCGGAGGCTCAAGGCCCATCTCTCCCTGTGAGGGTTTGGTTGGGGCTAGGTGAACTTCTTGAACTGATGTTCACAGAGTTGGTGGATACAACGTGGGTATGAAATGATTGCTTTAGTGAGTCTTTTGCCTCTTTGGGCAAAGCGCTGCTCTGAGGACAGCTATTTGAGCATCCCATGGATTGAACCGACTTTGGGGGCATTCCTGAGGCTGGCAGTGAGGCTGCCTTAACTTTGGGGCCAGGGCTGGGATCATGGTGGGTCTCTAGGCCAGAGACACGAGCTTGGGTCTTACTCTAAGCCTTAGGCTTTGAGGAAGGATGAGCATTGTTCACTTTTCGGACTGGTCAGTCTGGTTGGTGAGTGGACAGGGACTAGAGAAGGGCAAACACCAGAAGGAGCTAGGTCTGTGGAGGCTGCTGCAGTAGTATAGGGAAAAAATGAATAAATAAATACATAAAGGAAACAAGGAGGGGGAGGGGGAGAAAAGTTTGGGCCAGGTTGTGTCACAGCAGGACTTGCTGTGACCAGCTGTGGGGGAGAGGGGACTGGCCTGCCTAGAGCCTAAGATGTGAGCGATAAGGAGAGAAAAATTTGGAGAGGCAGCATGGGGTTTGATCTTGGAAGTACTTGGATGCCAGTCTATATTTGGGGGTCAAGAGGAGCTTTAGACAGAATTTGAGGAAAGACGTTGAGGCTGACTTTGAGCAGACATCGCTCAGTGGTACAGAGACAAGGCTGCATGCTGCTCGAGGAAGGGCTTTCAACTGCAAGAGGACAAAAGTGACGTTATGCTTCAGCTGAAGGCCTATCTCAAGGCCATTGATAAAAGGACTTGAAGACAAGTGACCATGTTGCTGCTAGCAGGGACCAACAGGGGGCGCGCTGCACCAAAACAGCCCTGGCCCTTTACCAAGGCTACCCTTGTGTCTCTCTCTGGCTTCCTGGAGCTTTTTGTTTGCCATGAGAAGAACCACAGTGGGGCCAAGTGTTGGAGAAGGGAAAGCTGAACGCGGGCGTTGAGCCTTTAGAAACCTTTGTGAGAACTCCCGTGGAAACTGCGGTGAGGAGAGGGTGGGGAGCGGCACCTCAGCCCCAGCCGGCGCTTGGCACAGCCATCCTGATTACAGAGCACAGTCTGCTCTGCACTTTTCCTCGGAAAGGTCTGGTTTTCATTTTTCCTCTTGTCCCAGCAAGCATCGTGCTTTGGGGACACAGATCTGCACTCAGTTAAAGCCTCCGCTAATGCAGACCATCTTGCCGAGCAGCAATCAACCTTACTTTGAGGTTGAGCTCAGTGGAAAAATTAAAATTAACTGTCCTTGACAGGAAGCACATACACCGCAAAGCATGTTCTCTGGGTTCAGCGGCTAGATTTCAACAGAATCAAATGGCAGTTTGAATAAATAACAATTTACACTTAGTTGCTTTTAGGGTCAAGGATCAGGGCAGATGTGCACAGGACTTACTGCATTTACCCCTGGAATGGCTTTGGCTTTGTTCCCTCTGAATGTCTTAAAGGGCTCATGAGGACACAGCAGTAGCCCTGGAGGGTGTCTGAGGGCCTTTGGGTGCTTGGGTCAGAAGCAGAGATTGAGAGTCCTCACACAACTCCTTGGAGACCTACCCTGCCCTGATTCCCCAGAGCCCACATTCAGCAAATTCTGCAAATTAACACAGTGCCTGGTGGACCACAGACACCCAGGCTCCTGTCCCCAGCTGGAGCAGCACCCAGCTGGACAATTATTAGAAGCAGGGTGGGGGCAGAGGTGCTACCCAGTCCTGTGCACTTTTGTTTGTTAAATGCCCAAGCGGGATACTTTGTTGTTCAGTTATGTTGTATAGGAAGGAGACAGAAACAGGTGCGTTTTGAGGTGATAGGCACAGAGGAAAGACCATGGGTCCTCCTATCTGCTCTGCTAAAGAAGAAAAGATTTCAGTGGGAGAAAAACATATTGCAGACTCTAGATGATGCCGAGACCTTCATGTCTGGTTGCTGAAGAAAAATCCTACATGTACTCAATCCGTTCATTTTTGAAGTAATGTCATCTCATTACAAAAATAACAAATATGCGATGCAGAATGTAGGGAACATGATCTGCCTGAGAAAACTGCCTATACTGCTACCCTGTTAAAGAACTATATTACAGTACTAGCTTTCTGGTGTAACATCCTCCTGTTATATTTCTATGATAGATTTATGTATTTTATATACTGTTGTACAAGTACCTTTCTTTACTTTGCCTCACAGATACTGCTTCATCTATATCTATAAATACAGATCTACATATATACATATATATATTTTGTGTGTGTGTGTGTGCAGTGATAGAGGTGGAACCCAGGGCCTCACACATGCTGTAAAAGTGCTCTACCACTGGGCTACATCCCCCAAACCTTTTTATGTTACTTCGACACAGGATATCTCTACGTTGCCCAGTCGGGCCTGGACGTTCCATCCTCTTGTTCAGCCTCCTGAGTCCTGAGACTGTAGGCCTGTGCCGCCACACTTCGTCCTTGTTTATTTTTTTAAATGTTGCCATTACCTAGGCTGGCCTTGAATTTGCAAGCTTCTTCCCTCAGCCTGCCAAGTGCCTGAGATTTATAGGTGTGTGCCGCCGTGGCCATTACGTTTTTAGACGTAATCCTTAATAATTTGATAGACTACCATGTATTATAAACATGCCTTTCATATGCACTAGGAAAAATATGTGACTTGCCTTTTTAAATTTATTTATTTATTTTAAGACAAGGTCCCAGGGCCGGGGGTTTAGCTCGGTGGCATAAGTGCCTGCCTGGCAAGTACAAGGTCATGAGTTCGATCCCCGGTACCACAAAACAAAATAAAACAAGGTCCCACTATGCAGTCCAAGCTGGCGTTGAACTCCCTATGTAGCTCAGGGTGGCCTCAAACTCACAGTAATCCTCCTGCTTCAGCCTCCCAAGTGCTGGGATCACAGGTGAGCTGTAAGACACATCAGTGAAAAACACGCCTGGCTGAGATTTTTTTTAAAAAGTGAATTGCTAGGTTTATGAGTAGGGGCCAAAAAACTCCTTGTCTTTCATCGACTTGTCTTAGTGAGGTTGAACATGTCACACATTTGTTGGGCCCATGGCCTTTTGTTTTGAAGGAAAACAATGCCATCCCCCTGCTGTGACCCAGTTCTCTGGAGCCCGAGAACGTCTGGTCCAGCCCTGGCTTCTGACTCCACACTGGGCTGCTGACACCCTTCTTCAATGGGCCGGCTCCTTCAGCACCCCTCCCTTCCTCTTCTGCCCTGGCCCAGCCTCCTGCAGGCCTCTCTGGGTGTCGCCAAAGCTCGCTGCCACTGTACCCCTGGGGAGTGGCAATTAAGCACACGCCCCACCTGGCAGTGCCTTGGGCAGTGTTCTGACATCCGGGCTTAAAACCCTTTGTTAGGGGCTGGGGATTTAGTTCAGTGGCATAAGCACAAGCACCTGCCTTGCAAGCAGGCAGTCGTGAGTTCGATCCCTGGTACCGATAAAAAGGAAAAAGACAAAAAAAAAAAAAAAAAAAAAAAAAAAAAAAAAAAAAACCTTTGTTATTCTCCTGATCTCAGCCTGACCCCTCAGCCTCTGCCAGCGGGTGCCTTGCCCAGGCATTGCAAGCCCTGACTATGCAGCTGTGCAGACCCCTGCCAGCTTCTTTCAGGGTGGCAATGAGCCACCCTGGGTCTGCATAAAGTCCCCTTGCAGTCATGCTGATTCTTCCCATCCTGGCCTCTGCAGAGGACCGGTTGATTTCCCACACCTGACCCTGGGCTCCTGTCTGCTGATGGCTGTATCCTGCAGCCTGGCACCTTTTTATTCTATTGCATGTGGCAGTCCACATGTCACTCCCCGGGTGTGGCCTTGAGGGTGTCCTCCTTCTCCAATGGACTCTTGATAGTGCCTGTTCCTCGAAGGTGGACTTTGAAACAGAGGGCACCTCCGTAGCTTTTGATCTCAGTTAATTCACCTAACATGAAAGTGAAATGTCTTAGGTGTTTTGTTTTGTTTTTTGAAACAGGGTTTCACTATGCGGTTCAGGCTGGCCTCAAACTCACTGTGGAACCCAGGCTGGCCTCAAATTCCTGCCAATCTTCCTGCCTCAGTCTCCCGAGTGCTGGGATCACAGGGGTGTGCTACCACGCCTGCCCTCAGTGTTCTCCTCTTGGTGGACAGACACACCTCACACAGCCGGTGCCGTCCTTACAGAGTGCTTGGGAAGTTGTATGATGCAATATTCAAGCTTTGAATAGGTTCAGAGATAAATTCTGGGGGAAGAGAGTAGCAGAAAAGTGGCATAAAATGTGTTCATTCCTGGGTGAGGTGATTCGAGGAAATTTTAATTTTCTTTATGTCCATGTGCATTTTGGAAAATTTCAGTAGTGAACATGCCCTATGTCCATTTACTGTGTAAACATGTACAATGATTTCATTGATGTTATTGTCTTAGCACTTAGGAGAGACTTTTCTTTGATATTGCTGAAGCTTTGACCTAGGAAACTTTGGGCAGCTTGTGACCACCAGACCCTCAGGCCTCTCACTCAGCCACCTGCCCAAGAATGGAGTCCAGTTGTACCTCAGTGTCAGTAGTTGAAGGTTCTGGGTCTCGCTTTTCTAGTTTTTTCTGGCTACATCCAGCAC